ACTCCTAAACACTTTTATTTTCTCTTGAAATTGTGTTTCAATCATTGTATAGAATACCTGAAATATCTCTTTTACTTCAGACTTGTCCCTTAATAAATATAGCCAAGTGAGTCGTGTGTGATCATCTATGAAGCTAACAAACCATTTTTTTCCATACATTGTTGAGGCTCGAGATGGTCCCCAAACATCACTATGAATTAATAAAAACGGTTTTGATGCTTGATATGGTCTAGCGGGAAAGGAAGAACGATGATGCTTAGCTAGTTCACAAATCTCACATTTAAAAAAAGATGGACTTTTATTGCTAAATAAATTTTTAGTAATAAAAACTAGGATGCCCTAATCTATAATGCCAAATCATAACATTATTAGAAACGTAAATAAAGTTGAAACAAGAGTTTGTAACTTGGTGTCCTGATTTGGTTCCATCTTCAAGGAAATAGAGACCTCCACTTTCTCTAGCACTGTCAATCGTCCTCCCCGAGACCATGTCCTGAAACTCACACCGAGAAGAGTCAAAAATAACACGACAATTAAGAGAACTTGTTATCTGACTGACAGGCACAAGATTGCAAGAGAGTTTTGGAACATGGAGTACATCATGCAAGGTTATATAATTGAAAATTTTGACAGTCCCTGTTCCAGCAATTGCGGAGAGGGAACCATCAGCAATTCTAATCTTCCTATTCCCTGCACATGGAGTATAAGTTGAAAAAAATGGGAGCACCCTGTCATGTGATCAGTGGCTCCTGAATCTATGATCCAGGAGCTGTTTTGTTTGGGATTAACATTGAGGAAGGCTGAGGCGATATTACCTGTTTTGACAAAAGAACATGAAGGGGTTGATTGGTTTACTCAGAAGTGTGAAGACTGAAAAAGTTTGTGCAGCTGCTCTAATTGTTCCTTTGTGAAAGACAGCCCTTCAGAAGTACCTTGATGCCCCTGATCTTCACTGGTTGCTTAAGTCGAGAAGCCCCTGGAATTAGCATTCTTTTTCTTCCAGTTCTGCGGTTTTCCGTGGATCTTCCAGCAATTTTCCCTCGTATGCCAATGTTTTTTGCAGTGGTCACACCAAGGCTTCTTCTTCCTGTCATTATCTGAGTCATTCCTCATTGACACAAGGGCAGAATTATCAGTCACGTTAGCCACTGGTTTGTTATCCTCCTCGGTCTTCATCATAACTTTCCTCCTAGTCTCCTCTCTTCTAATTTCAGAAAACGCCTCCCGAAGAGTTGGTAGGGGATTTTTTCCAAGAATCCTAGACCTAATCTCATCATAGACTCGGTCGAAACCAGCCAAAAAAAGGTACACCCGATCACTTTCTTCCTTTTTCATAAATCTAACGCTATCCATCGGGCAATCCCACTCATCATTATAGCATTGATCTAATTCTTGCCATAGAGACACCATCTCATTATAATAAATGGTAACCTCACGCTCACCTTGTTTGGATTTTCACAACTTGGTTTTTAATTCAAAAATTTGTGAGGAATTTTCAAGATCGGAATAGGTTTCTCTCACTGCATCCCATACGTCTTTTGCAGTGGGAAGGAAAAGATAGGGCTTACCTATAGTTGGTTCCATAGAATTAATTAACCATGCAGTAACTAACGAATTTTCTGACCTCCATGCCCTTAGTTTCAAATCCCCATCTCCAGGCTTCTTCACTTCTCCATTCAAATGATCGATTTTTCCTCTTCCATGAATGGCCAACTTCACCGATTGTGCCCATTCTAGGTAGTTCTTCCCGTTCAGTTTGTGGAGAGTCAATTGGAACGAAAATTGAGTCGAGTCTCCTCCTTGTGCCATGGTGGTTCGATCTAGTTCACCACGATTAGAATCTCCTGCCCTAGAGGATGCCGAGGATCTGCCTTCTTCTGTGATGGCCTTTTCAGCCATGGATTAAGAAGGTATTTTTCGGCTCTGATACCATGAAGGTTTCAGGGCAGAAAAGAATATTCTTTATTGATTGATTTCTATACAAGAAGTTACAATATTTATAGGAGGAAACCCTATGGGAATCAGGAAATAAAATTCCACGGAAAGAGGGATTAGATGAGATCCTTATCTCAGGACATCTCCTTTAAAAACTGAAAGTATAAACTACTTTCCTATCTTATCTCTAAGCCCCTATTAACCGGATTATTCCATATCCGGTTTACTTTCCTATTTTCTACAAAAGGTGTTTTCTTAGGATACTCTTTAGGTGTTAAAGGTTATAAAATTTGGTTGATTGAAGAAAAGAAATCTGTCATTAGTAGAGATGTTATTTTCAATGAGCTTGTGTTCTATAAGACTAACATGCAGGAAAGACAGCAAGAAAATGATCCAGGAAATTTACAATCAGAAAACACTCCAGAAAGCTTGAATGATTCTGGTGATAAACTCACTGGTTCATTTAAAAAAGATGCTGAGGAACCAGAAATGGATGATCACAATTTTACTGATCAAGGTGGAGCTATTCGGATCAATTCTAACATCAGCGAACAAACAAAGCCAACAAGATCAGTCCATTTCAAGCCATGATCCAGCAAGCCAAGAAGAAGACGACCTTAGAGATTATGTGCTGACCCCAGACAGACCTAGAAGACAGATCAAGCCTCCCCCTAGATTTGCACAAGCGGATCTCATTCCCTTTGCACTAAACGCGGCGGCTGAGGTGGAGCAGAGTGAACCCAACATAGTAGCAGAGGCGAAAAACAGCTCAGAATGGATGTATTGGAAGGCAGCAATGGTTGAGGAAATGAGGTCCTTACAGAAGAATGAGACCTGGATCCTAGTGGAGAAACCGAAGAACCAGAAAGTTATTGGGTGTAGATGGATTTTCAAAAAGAAGCCTGGTATTCCTGGAGTTGAGAAACCTAGATTTAAGGCTAGGTTGGTTGCCAAGGGATACTCACAAGTAGAAGGAATAGACTATCATGAAGTCTTCTCTCCAGTGGTCAAACATACCTCAATCAGAGTTATTTTGGCAATTACAGCCTTGTTAGACTTAGAACTTGAGCATATGGATGTCAAAACTGCCTTCCTTCATGGCAGTTTGGAGGAACAAATATACATGGCTCAACTTGAAGAGTTTGAAGTGAGAGGTCAAGAATCCAAAGTCTGCTTCCTTAAAAAAGTCCTTATATGGACTCAAACAATCTCCTCGACAATGGTATAGGAGATTTGATGAGTTTATGCTTTCTAAAGGGTTTTCAAGAAGCAGATTTGATAGTTGTGTATATTATAGAAGATTGACAAGCAGTGACTTCATCTATTTACTGATCTATGTAGATGATATGCTTATAGCTTGTAAAGATCAGTTAAAAATTCAGAAATTGAAGAATGTGCTCAATTCAGAATTCGAAATGAAGGACTTAGGAGGTGCAAGCAGAATTTTGGGAATGGATATTATCAGAGACAGGACCAAAAGGATTCTGTTTTTATCTTAGGAGAATTATCTTAAAAAGGTCACAAGTACCTTTGGAATGCAAGATGCTAAGTCAGTTAATACACCCATTGGTGCTCATTTCAAACTAGAAGCTGTAAAGGAACAAGATGAGAAGATAGAGGCCAAATTCATGAAGAATGTACCTTATTCCAGTGGAATTGGAAGTGTCATGTATGCTATGGTCAGCACTAGACCTGACATTGCCTATGGAGTTGGGCTCGTGAGCAGATACATGAGCAGACCAAGTAGAGTCCATTGGCAGGCAGTAAAGTGGCTGTTGAGGTACTTGAAGGGCACTTCCAAGGTTGGTTTAATCTACAGAGGTAATCAACACAGCAATCACATAGTGGAGGGGTATTGTGACTCAGATTTTGCTGGTGATCTTGATAAAAGAAGATCACTCTTAGGATATGTATTCACTTTTGGAGGAAATACTGTGAGTTGGAAGTCTAGTCTGCAACATGTGATAGCATTGTCATCAACAGAAGCTGAGTACATTGCCCTAACAGAGGCAGTAAAAGAAGCCCTGTGGTTGAAAGGATTCATCAGTGAGCTGGGGTTTGTGCAGAAGAAAGTTTCTATACATTGTGATTCACAAAGTGCTATTCATTTGACAAAGAACAGTGTGTTCCATGAGAGAACAAAGCACATAGATGTGAAACTACATTTCGTCAGAGATATCCTTACAAAGGAGCTAGTGGAGATTGTGAAGATTTCTACTGATATGAACCTAGCAGACATGCTTACCAAAGTGATTCCTGTAGGCAAGTTCAAGAAAGCCTTGGACTTGCTTAGAATCTTGGTAATGTAGCACTGATGAATAAGGGATTCCTAGTTCAATCCAAAAGATTTGCAATTGGAGCCAAGGTGGAGATTTGTTGCAATTAGTGTGTCTCGATTGCAAATAAATAGAAGATATTTTCAGTTGAAGGTGTACGGCAAGTTGACTTCAAGACTGCAGCTTGGAGACTTTGGTGACGTGGCACTAACAACTGTCATTTTACAAGGCTGGCTCTAGTTATATATATCTAGTTTTGTTAAGCAGTTTATGGAAGAAAAAAAAAAGAAAACCATTTTCTGTTTTTCCGTAACAGACTATTGAGAGAGAAAAGATCTGAGAGAAATTCAGAGGGAATTTCTGGGTTTGTAATTGGGGCTCTTGGGCGGTTGTTTCCTGGGAATTTGGTGAGAAACTGAGACGCTAAATCTGTAAGAGTTCCTTTGATCTTTGTATAGTCTGGATTCTGGTGTACACTCTTTGACGAACTAGTGGATTGAGCTAGGGAGATATCCCTGCCTCGGATTAGGATCCGCAAGGATCTGAACCAAGTAAATCACTTGTCTCTTTCTTTGTTTGTCTTTCGTTTTCTGTTTTTACTATTTTGTTCGGTTCTCTGCTTTTGTGTTTCGTGTTCTTGTTGCAGATTCTAGGATTTCGTCCACATTTGTAATATAGATGGCATTTGGAGTAATCTGTTTCCCGTTTCATGGAAACGAGAATGTACACATTTTTTCTGTATTTCTTGAATTAAACTCTATTGGCACTTTATTTCATTATCTTAACCAGGCCGTCATGAACTTCTTGAAAGACTTGGTATCAATTGCGACGCTGTTGCTCGGACTGGTGATGCATTAGCATTGTCAGAATTGTCAATCAAATTCCTTGCACCTCTAAGAGTATGTATCTGTTCAGTATTTTGCCTTGTATCTCTTATTCCATGCCATTTTTTCATGTTCCTTATGTATCACGTGGTGTTATTTCTTAAGGAAGTTAGATAATGCTATTACAAAATTTGATTTTTCCATTAAGGGGTTTAAGCTAGGTTAACTTGTGTAGAAAGCTATTCTTTGCCAGTTTCTTTTTTTTTTATTATTATTTTTTTCTGTAAGAAAGAATGGCTTGTACAGGAGACTTGAGCCTGAAATCCATTTGTATTCGCGAAGAACATTTCTGTCGCATTTGCTAAAAAGCAACGTAGTCATTTTTTTAAGGAAGCAACATTGTCATATATATATTTAAAGATGTTCAAATTTTATTTTATTTCATTTTGAGTGGCAACACTATATACCAAGCAAAAGATTGTTATGTTTCCTCAACTTTCCAAAAGTACGAACTCCTTCGTACTTAAACAAGGGTTCTCTCTGTCTCTTTTATTATTTTTTTTCTAGATTTTATTTTGCTGCCCATGCTGACAATAAATATAACTTTACTTCTGCATAGTACTTATTTTTGCTATGTTGTTGTGCATGACTAGAGTGGAGACAAGTTCGTTGTGAAGGTAAGAATCTCTGGCTCCTCGGCTGCTCGCTTATACTTTGAGCATTTAATCTTCAAGCTGCCAAATCAAGAGGTTTGTTTCCGTTTTCCATGTTATATTTCTCAACTTCTTTCACATAATTTGAACAGACGCCTTGTCTAGATCCTACAAGGCTCTTATTATTATATGTTGTACACAGCCTATTTTGGAAGCAAAGGCCACAGCAGTTTGGCTTGATAAAAACTACCGTCCTGTTCGGATACCACCTGAGATGAGATCTAAACTTGTTCAATTTCTCCGTCACGAGGAGTCTAGTTGAGTTTATGCAAACATGAACTTTGGCAGAAGTTTTCTTTGCCAGCCAGCAGCCCCTACAATTAGATTTCTACTATCCATAGGAAAAGAAGATAGGAGGGACAGTATTCCAGAAACATAAGGACATTACAAAGAAATTCACCATTGTTATTGTTAAATTAGGGTTAATCCTAAGGACATTACAAAGAAATTTACCATTGTTATTGTTAAATTAGGGTTTATTCTATTTTTAGTGCCCTAAATTATAGGACAAATCCCATGCTGTAGCTGCTTACTCCATTTTTTTCCCCCTCTCCTGCCAACAGATGTTTTGCATATCAGATTCAGTTATTTGCCATAAAACTATAATAGAATCAAGCATTTTTAATTAGCAGACTCCCCAAAGTTAGTTTTTAGGTTTTCTTTTCTTCCTTTGAACTTCTCTAGACCTCAAGATGGAGCCAGGTGTGAATTTACTGCCTGCAATCACACTTACACCAAACTCCGAAGTTACGACATCGTTAGAATCAGTGATTTTTTGTTTTCTTTTGTTTCCGACATGTAATTAGATCAATATAGAGATAATATTTACACGGGATTCCAATCGAAAATGGCTTGTGGTTGTTCTCCAAGAACTCAAGCATCGATGGCCAATCTCGTAGCTGGACATGCTTCCTTTTAAGGATTTTCCTTCCAATAACAACCAAATACATGACATCACATGTCCTTTTTCATCGCAATTTTAATCAACTCTAAGTTTAGGGACGTTTCTTGGACGTTTTATAGATCGAGAACTGATTGTGTGACGTTTTGTAAACAAGAGTCCAAGATATAATTTGGTTTACTATTTGGGGACAAAAATTCAACAAACCCTATCAATTTACTTGGACAAAAATTTAAGCGGTATACTTTATTTGGTTGATTAACTGGATAAAATTAGATTGCTGAAAATATCTTATTTGTGGTAGCTAAAGATATTCCTGCTATGTTCTCTTATTTTTGATACAAGAAAATTGTCAAATATACATGTGATAAACAGAGCTATTTCCAACAACAACAATCTATGGGCCAGTTTGGCGTTGAAAATTTTTGCTACAAGCGGCTCAGTGCAACCATATATATCACTAAAGTTATCAACAGAGCTTTTAATGTGATATCGTCTCTTGCAGGAAGTTCTATTTCGGTTTGATGCTTCTTAAATCCTTTTTACCCTTGAATTTAAATCTGTGGGTATAAAACTTGAACCCTATCGTTGAAAATCCACACGGTACCTTATAGTAGTAAAACTCCCAAAAAGGAAAAATAAAGAAAAATGATATTCATTTCCTCACTGCTCACGTACGGACTCAGGTCCTACCTAGTAGGATCCACAACTAATAGGGATGTAGAAGTGTTAAAAAGAAAAATTCTTTGAAGCACAGCACCGGCTAACTTTCTATTAGTAAGTGATGTTCAACATTGTTGATGCTTTATAGTATTATTTGTTAAACCTCTTAATAATTTAAGTTTTAGAGAATATTAAGTTTAATTCATTTTGTGAATTAAAATTTTTAATTCGAATTAAAATGTAATATTTTTTAAGAATTGTTAATTATAGTATAAAAAATTAAATGTGATATTTTTAAAAAATTTTAATTATAAAAATTTAAATTGATTAAATAAATGAGATCTTAATAAATTAACATTATTACTTGAAAAAAATGAAATTCTAATTCATAAACCAGTACCCACCACGTGTCCTTCTAGCTTGTTCTGGAGAGACGTGCACGGTAGTGTTCGCGCGCCACCTGACCGGGTCTTGTCGTGCATATCAGTTAAATGGGTACTGGGTAGGTGAATAGGGAAGGAAAATCTAAAGAGAAACAGAGAGAGAGAGAGAGAGAGAGAGAACTTTCAGAAGTTGCAGAGAGGGGTTAATTATGGAGGAGGAGATTCAGAAGAAGAAGAAGAAGAGGGTGATGGTGGCAATAGATGAGAGCGAGTATAGCCACTACGCACTCAACTGGACACTGGAGAAGCTCCACGACACCATCTTTAATTCTCAACTTTTCATTCTCGCCGTTCAATCCAACGCTGATCTTGGCTCCGCTTATGCTTCCTCTTTTGGCTCTGCTCGTACGTTCTACTTCTCCACCATCACTTCTGTCTCTCTCTGCCGTTTATTGGCTTACTTTGTATTGCCGCAGAATTTAAAAAAACTATTTTTAATTATGTTAAAAAAAACAGTCCTTATAAAAAATAATTAAATTTTTAATAAATTATAATTATAATAATTATATTAATTTTAAAATTAGTGTAATTACGTTTAATAAATATGATATTAAATTTTTATAAATAATTAAAAATTATAATTATA